GATTAGAAAGAAAAACTTCCAATTTGACTGAACTGTCTTCCAAACAAAAAAATACACTTGCTGCTTACAAAATGCAAGTCCTCTCTAACAGGACTAAAGACTCAGAATTTAGAACTGGTTTTCCCCGGTAAGGAGAAATGCAATTGGAAAATTGAGGAGCAAATAACATAACAAGGATTACATCAGATTAGGAACACCTAGAGGAGAATCCCAAAAACCACCAGTGCATTTTGTGGAAAGGGTGGCTTAATCCATCAGCCTTCTGAGGTAGAGAAATACAGCTGGAGGCAGTTTACTGAGTTAAATGAGGCACTGAAATGGCACTCTGCCAGCTCCATGTACATATTAAAAATTTACAGCGTGTTATGGAGGAAAAATTCTTCATGCATAGTTCTTTCTCATAAATTTAATTCCCTCAACAGGTTTTGTCATGCAGAGATGCCTTCGTCTTCAGGAATCAGCTCTATCTTGTCCCCATGTAGCTTGCAAAAACTTGGGATATTGTTTCTGCACATTGTTTTCTTTTGGAATTTCTACTAATTTTGCAGGTCCTATGGAGGCAGAGTAATTTTTAGCTGTACTTAGTGAAACTCCCATGTGGATGTGTTAAAGGTGTTTTGTGAGTTAGTGAATAAGGCAGTATGGATCACTGGAAAGCCTCCAGGACACCCCTACAACCTGTTGTTCTACTGAATAGATAACTCATAAAGATAAAGCATTACCTGACTGCAGGTCCTCTGATTTATCTAAGGTTCATTAAAATTCACCCAGGGTATTTTGAGCTATACAGAGCAGTGCCAGAGTACTCTTTTACTAGCAGCTAGATGACTGAGACAAAAAGCACTTCCTTCAGCACTTGTCACCCGCCAAAACTGAGAAGTTTATATAAATGCAAAAGGAAGACACTAAATGCAGGTGCTTCCCCCTTCCCTGCCCCACCCTGCCTTGCTGGCATCAAAGTAAACAAGAGAGAAAAATATCAATTTGGTGAGAATCAAAGCAAAATAAGATTTTTTTTTCTGAACTTTTCTTCATCTTCTATATCTTGTTTGAAGACTTATCTCAGATTTTCTCTTGCAGTGTACATGGGAAGGATGCATATGCATTTCCTCATGAGAAATTTGGGGTGCAGGGTGTCTGACTCTTCTTTCTTCAGGAAAAATAATGTTTATTTAACGAATTCACCTTAATTTCTGGATGAAATAAAAAAAAAAATCCAAAAACCAAACAAACAAACAAACAAACAACAACAACAACAACAAAAAAAACCCTGAAAGAACCCAATCTTTTCTGACCTGCACTGATTTTTGACATTTGGAAACATTTCATGAAGTCAGAGATAATGAATTCAATTACTGGCTGGCATTTAACTTGCCTGTGTTTTCTTGGACAAGACTTCATAGTATGTTCTGTAGCAAACACCAGTAGTTTTGTCTGCAAAGTCAGCACTCTTACTTTTCCTAATTTGTAACCTAATTCTAAATGGCAGAAAAACATTGGGTATTTTGCCGAAATGTTTAAATTTGGAAAAGCAACATTGATCAAAGTAATTAGAAACAGAGAAAAAGATAAAAAGCTTCTGTCAGTGACTATACTTCTATATTTTTAGAAATATAATAACTGAGACTTCTTTATGAGACTGAACAGCCTGAAATTCCTAAGTGAAATCAATTAAACCAATATTGGAATAGAATGCAGTAAACCATTTTATATTTAATCTTTCAAATGGATATATAGTGTATAATAGAACTTATAAGTAATTTGATTTAGAAAAATATATTTGGTTATACTCTGGTGGTACAACACAAGTTAGATGTAGAATTAAATAAAACCAATATTTATTTCTTGGTTGGTTTCTATGATCAACACATTAAGACAAAACGCATGGCATAGTGAAATTTCTATAACCACGGAAAGCACAAAAGAATCTGTAATCTATCGTAGCACAATGTGCATGTGAAAGGTTTCAAAGCACATTTCATTCACTTCATAGTAAGGATAATACTTTCTAGAGAGGCTGGCTGGGAAGTGGACATTATTGCTGTGTTTTTCAAGAACATTAGATGTTCTGTTTTTAAGGCAGTTCCACGGTATAATGACCTGCCAATGAAGCAATCAAATTCTGCTTATTTTTGGAAATCTCCTTTTGGTTTCATGATTTGTTGACAAGAGCTCAGTGTTCTGCAAGACCCAGCTCAAACCTGGTTTTGATACGAAAAGATGAATTTGTGGTTGTATAAGTATGTAAGATTTTACACAGGAGGCAGAATGCTCCTTTTCACAAACTGTACTGCACCTCACAAACCCATGCTAAATCAGGATGCCATACAGTGTGCCTGTGATCATGGCTTTGGGAAATCTTCACATTTCAAAGGAAAACCAGCAATGCTTCATTTTCTTACCAAATGGCTATTCAGAAATGGATGGCTATGCAAACTTTTGTTGGAAGCCAACTACAAAATAAATGTCCCTGCAACATAGGACTAGTGATCACCAAGATCCAGAGCCTTAACTGGATGTTGGGTTCCACCACGTTCCTCTTTGGCCTGCTCAGAAAATAGGAAGAGGCAATGTTGCAGAAGATACAGTCCTGCTATTCTGTTACAAGCTGAAATGCCTCTCTAAATTCATCTCTGGGTTATATTTATATACCATCATAACTTAAGAACCCTGCAGTTTTTATTGACAGGGTCCCATCCTTCCCACTCTATCAGCTCAGGGAGTGCTGTTGAAACTTCTAGTTAAGGTCCCTGATGACAGAGCAAGTATTTTTCTATGCTGATACTGCTGGTTAATAGTTACATGTGAAAGTGTGCATCTACCTTCAGATGCTGCATTAGTTATGTATCTGGATACACAGAAATTTGTCATAAAAGGCTCCCTCCTTTCCTACATCCCACACTTACACCTCAACATGTCTGAGAAGTGACATTGTTCAAATATATATGAGCCTCAAACATACCTTGTGTTACTCAGGCATGAGGAGGTGTAAAAAGGTTTATAGTCATATTTTAAGTACTGTTTCATTTGCTACTGTCCTTTCCATGACAGTCAGACAGTGAGAAAAGGGCCAGAGAGATGAGGTGGAAGAAATAGAGGGGAGTAATTAGATGTTTTAGGAAGAGAGCACTCTGACCAGACAGATCAGCAGAGACTGAGCTGCAGTTTTCTGCAGAAGGATCTTGTCCTTTCACTTCCTGCAGTTACACCATGTCCTTATCACTCAAAGAAAGCAAGATTACTATTTGCCCACTCAACCACGTACCATGTGTTATTTTTAACCTACCATATAAATGGCATCTGTCTCTTTTAATCCTGATGGTCAGCTTTTCAGATAACAGGAAACAGTATAGCTACTTGTTAGTTTAGAAAATATATTTCCTGTCTACACAACCAAAAAAAAAAAAAAAAGGAAATTTTCCCATGATTTCAGTGTGGGTAAAGTTTTAGAACCTCAGTGTGACAAGAGAGAATAATAAACAAAAATAGGGGAAGGAAGGATAAGATAAGGGGATAATGATGGGTAACACAGTCATATCTATCTTGTTTCTCATTTTTTGTTTGGTTGGCTTCTATTTTTATTAGTCTGTTGTTTATGCTTTCTAAAATAGTGTTCCTACATATACAGCCATTACTTCCTTCAAACTCTACCTGGAAGCCTGACAGAAGGTTTGTGAGAGGAACAAAGAAGACATGCAAATTTGCCTTATTTTAACATTGTTTATTATCCAGCTCCTTCCTTAATTTCAGAAGACGACGCATTTCTGCAATTCATACAACTCTGAATCTAAGTGCCGTGCTAGAGTTCTAACTTCTGAGATGCTTTTTATTTTGACAGCAGTTGGAGGTGCACAGCATGGACTGGATCCTTGGAGATTGCTTCTGGTGATGTTGTTCTCATTTGTTTTGCCATAAGGATGTATCATTACTCAGAAAAGATTAATCAAAAACATTTGCCTGAAGTAAATCCCTCAGTTATTTCCATGAGTACACTTTAAAAAACTTTATATATGAGATTAATATTTATTCAAGACAAGAGTTCCTGGCAATAGGGGAAAGCAAGATTCTCTTGGATGGTGCTGTAGCATCAGATGCATGACAAGGGCTCAGCTCCACCAGGAACCAACTCAACAAAACCATTGACCAGCAATCCTTCCTGATACCTGCCAGTTAAAAGCAATCTTTTCTTTGGGTTATAAATCATCTCCATCTATTAAGTCCCACCTCACAAAGTGCATTTCCAAGAATCCATCTGTTCCTAAAGCTGTCATCACATGTGCCTTCAGCAGCCTAGATCTGATGCCCAAGGAGTTTTACATGCTAATTTAAAATGAGAGGTTGGTGCTTCTGCTGAGTCTTTAAACCTGCTCTGATATAGCTGAGACAGAAAGGATCCCAGTTCCTGAGACATCCAGATAATTTCTATTTTGCATAAGAAATATATTCAAAATATTGCATTGTTCTTCTTATTGCATTGTTCTTCTTATTGATCTCTGCAATACGGTTTCACTCAGCTGAAAGCATCATTAAGGAGCTGACATGTATTTGCTGAACAAGACCAGTATAAAGAAGCTGAATTTTCCAAAGATTCATTAAGAAATTCAGTCTCCCATCAAACTAACACATATTTTGATATATGATGCAATTAAAAAAAAAAAAAAGACAAACCAAACTCCAAGAGATTTAGCTATAACTCCCTCCAAAAATTTAATCTTTTTTTCTTAAGAATTACTATATAAGCTTATCCAGTGAAAAACACACCAAAAAAACTAAGATAAAAAAGTCTTTGGATTCTTTGCATAATTCTCCAGAATATATTTTAAATATCAGTGAGTTCCTCTGATTATAAACTGAATTGTAGTTCAGCATTACACTTCATCAGGGAAAATATCTATCAGATGAGAGCTGTGAACAACTGAACTTAAATATTTATTTTTAACCACAGAGGCTTTGCAGGAATCTAGACCAAAAGAATCAGTACTATAAACCAAATTTCTTACCTCTGATGGATGTCCAGCTCTTACAAAAGTACAGAGTGGATCAAAAGCTCCTGTTCCACAAGCCAGAAGATGGGTCCTGTTGTATCGGTGAAGGACACGGATGTAATTTGCACATTCATCCTAGTTTACGTAAAAAATAAACATGGGGAAATATTAGCTTTTAAAATATATTTTTTTTTTAGTATCTTATATGCCTATAGGTGACTTTCTAATATTGAATCTGTCTATTCTATTTCACTTCATGTTACTAACTCTATGCCATAAGTTTCATGGGTGGGCATTTTTACATTAAAAAAGCAAGTTTAGAGCACTGATTGATCATGTTTTCTTTTAGATGCTTAAACAGTTAGGAGTTACTAAATTATAAAAAACACACTTTTGTGCTTCTTTAGTCATGGAGATAATCTGACATTTGAATAAATCTTAACTATGTATTATTGGATACATAGGACACGTACATAAGATTCACAGCAGAAGATGTGAATGGTCAGCAAACATCTCTCTGGAGTTAAATACTTTATCTCGATAAAAATATAATTTTTATTGCACCATTAATTTATGTTATAATTAATTGTTAATCAATATTTTTAATATTGTATAGACACATTGTCTGTTTCCACTGTTTAAACCCCTTTAAAAAAGAAATATTCATTTCCCCCAGGGCAATATTTTGTGACTCATTAGTGTATTTGCACCTTCATAAATATTACAATTAAAACATTTTCAAACAGTGGGGTCATTATTCCTGTGCTAAACTAGAAATGGAGAGAGTGAGATGAAAGTATCCATTGATTTTGGGACTCCTGGGATTTGGTTTTAGATTTTTTTATTTTTGGCATCTTATAATGGTTTCTATGAGTGGAGCAAAATTACTGTTCATTTCAATTCATTGCTCAACATTTCTGCAACTTAGAACCCTGAGCTTTAAGAGTCACATCAAGTTTAAGACATTTAAAATGGAATTAATCTGAGCTAACTTTAGCTATTCTGGCATTTAGACATGCAATTTATGTATTTATTTGTCATTCAATATATGCAATTTAATTCTCTCTGGCTTTTTTAATAGCCAGTGAAGTAGGCCAGACATCTCCAAAAGACCATTAATAGAATACTGAAATGAAAATGTAAAACAGAATGGAGGAATTTCCTTTTTTGAAAATTTCCAGTTTTTCACTGATAACTACTCTCATTTTTGGACTGTGGTATCTGTGTGAGAACAATCCTGGGTCTTATTAACCAACAGCAAGAATTTAATGTCAAAAAGGAGGAGTCTGCAGGGAATTCATAGGCAGAATTCAACACTTGCAAATCCACATTAGGTTCAAAACTAAGAAACCATCTTTGTTCTTTCTTCAGATCCCTGAATCATTCAGTGTAAGTCTTCCAAATGCTCCAGCAAATAAAAAAGGAAAGAATTCTCCCCTGCTACTTGATTCTCCTTAACTGTTCATCCTCAGGATATATCATGCTAATTTACAGAAGTAAGTAACCTACACAAGACATGACCTGTTGTGTAATTAAATATTATGCATATACAAAGCGCAAATCAACCCTTTAATATCTAACTTTTGGAATTTCTTGATTTGTAACTAATTTGTTCCTTTTCTTTTTTTTAAGGAAATAAAAACTTAAGGTCAGATGAATTGAGGGAAGAATGGGGTTAAGTCAGCAGCATGTGATTCTCCTTGTATGGATCAGTACTCAAAGACAGAGGTGTCCACTTTTTATGCTCATTTCCCAAATGTTTGCTGACTTGTGGCAGTAAAGTGCTATTCCATAGGTATTTTATGATGCCATGAAGTTTTTGAATGGATGCTTTACTGTGCAGTAATGCTGTTCCTGGTTCTCCCTCTCCTCCTTCCTGACTTATTTCCTTTGTTTGCTCTCAGTGGTGGTCTCTTCTTTACACTATGGTTTACTTTTTTTATCCATACACGCCTTCAGCTCTTGATCTTTGTGCCAAAAATCATTTTAGGGATTTAAGATTTTTTTAAATGGTAGTCTCACTCCTTCACATAGTCCTAATTAAGGACTATTCACATACCTAATTAAATCTCATGTGAGAATCAGAATATTGTTTGGTATTACAGTACTACAAAATTTTAAAATTTTAATGTATTTTTCTTAAAGGCACTACTTCTAGAATCTTGTGATTATTTAAAAGCTCTGTTTTTTTTCTGTAAAAGCAGTAGTTACTCCAAAACTTCATGTAGCAGAGAAATGTGGGAAACACATGAAACTCTTTAAATAACCACATTCACAGAATGCAAATTTGAGGATTTATAACAACAAACTGGATTGCAAAAAGGTTTTGAGTTTTAGGGAAACATAAGTCTGAGTGAGCTATCTTTGTTTTGAAACAACAGTACCTATTTCTGCATTTTTTAACAAAACAAATATTGTCAGATATTTGTTTTGTTAAAAATGTAGTGGTGAAAGAAGTGGTAGAGCTTTTTTCACCACTACATTTTGTTAAAAATGTAGTGGTGAAAAATGTAGTGGTGAAAGAAGGATACTAGAGCTTTAGCTAATAACAGGCAAGGTAGTATTAAATAAAGACCAAATAATTTAGGTTTGGGATTCATTTAATATGACCATAAAGTTCAGCCATTGTAGAAAACCACCATTTTCAACCAAAGCCACCTGAAATTATCAAGGACATAAAAGTAACCTGAAAAACTACAATGAACTCTTAAGAATCTTCAAAAAGGATCAGCTCTAGGCCAGGTAAATAGGAAGAGTTGGGGTATTATTATTATTATTACTACTACTACTACTAATACATGTAATACATTCCAGTCTGGTTCCTTAATGCAGACAGTTCTCAAGCTTTTACTTCAGAAGAAATCTTTATAGCTTCCTAATTTACTGGGAGTTTATGGTGGTTATTGTTGAGGCTGCTGTTTGCTGTGTTTCTGGGCAAAGCTTGTATGTCCCCTTCCATGTCCTACATTCCTGTCACTGTTGCTGTAAAACTATCATAATTTTCACATCCCTTGGTTCAGTGTGAGCTCTCTCAGCTGTGGGATTTATTAGGTGTACTCTCTGTGTGTTTATGAGGTGCAGATAATGAGCTTGGTGCACTGCAAAATTAAAGAGAGCTCCCCTCCAGAAGAACTTTCATCCTGTGCTGCCAATGATATCAGCTGCTGTGTGGCAGTGAGCTTTCAAGTCTTTTCCCAGGAAATTATTACAGTCAGGGCACGAGAACAAAACAGGCCTGAGATTCATTAAAACAGAGTATTCTTATTAATAGAACAAGAAACCTATAGGAAAATATAAATTACTGTGTATTTTATAATTATTAATAACTTAACAGCTTTTTTGAATGTATTCTAGAGAATGTAAATTTTAAAGACAAACTGGAATGTGAATATGGAGAAGATAATCTCTGCGTATGAAAAGAAAAGGACAGAGAAATGGAAAAGGAAAATTAAGGTCCCTTCTTTGATAGTACAAGAACAAGAATTAGAAGAAAGTTTAGGCGATCAAAAGTGTTCATTGCCTGTTTACGAGCTGGTTTGAAGAGCAATTAAACTAATAATTTAATGTGTTCACAGTACTTACATGTTTTAAACCTGCAACACTTCTCTTTATATCTGTGCTTTAATCTCTCTTAAGTTAGGGATGCCTGAATCCTTGTTTTGGACCAGCCATTGGTATAATTAAAGTATATTTGATCTGTAATTAGTGATACTTACAGCATCTCTTCCTTTAATTATGCATTCTTCTGCCTGCAGAGGTGTACTAGGCCAATGGATCTGAGGAAAAAAAAAATTGGCAGTCTGATTATGGAAATCCAGCTTTTCCATTATTGCTCACATCAAAGATTCTCAGATCAGAAGTACAAAATCATAGAACAGCCCAGGTTGGAAGGTGCCTCAAAAGACCATCTGGTCCAGCTTTTGGTGGGAATGGGAGCCCGGGTGAGATTATCTATAACTCTGTCCAAGACATCTTTAAATCCCCTACTGACAGAAACTCCACCACGTCCCTGGCTCCTTGTGAAGGGAGAGCCACTTTCCTCTTTGAGATGCCACTTAAATACTTAAGTACTGGAATATTGTCATGAGTTCTCCTGAGCCTTGCTTCCCCTGAGAGAAAAGACCTTCAGTCTCTCCTTCATTGGAACACAACTGTCTTGATGAGGACAGCACAGCAAACTTATCAGTAGTCAACAGAATTTAAAGGAAGGTAATGTATGGAACATTTTATATGAATTCAGTAGAAAAATCTATGCTAAACTGTCAGTGATTTTCAACATAGTTATTAATCTCGAACTACTGATTTCCTGCTTGAAGTGACACTTAGGAAAGAAAATGGCTTACAGTGAAGTTACTAAGGGTCAGCAATTAACCTTATGGGAATAGGATCGGCTCTTCACAGTCAGGCTTACTAGAAGTGAAGCCAAATTACACAAGTGAAGTTTTTTTCAGCTATCTACTGTATAACATTTAGGTTTCATCCCAGATGCATGATTTGTTGGGATAAAAACAATATTAAACAATGACTGATCACACTGGAATGATTACTTAATTTCTTACAACATTTAAAAGAGAAAACAAAAACATGTTCACATCAGTGATATCAGGCTTGGCTGAAACCAAGTAAATATCCAAAAACTGATGTCATCATTAAGACATTTTTGTCAATAATCCAATCACAATTTGATTTTTTTTTTCTGTCTGGAAAATATTTTTAAATTAAATTTTACTGCTAAGCTTTTTTCTTCACTTTTTTTTTTTTTTTTTTGGATGATTGAACTGTCTTACTTTTCTTGAAATAATAAATAGTTCTGAGAAAATGATGAATTATTAGAAAACTTAATTGCAGACAAGTGGGGATAAATTATTAATCCTAGATTCCTGGGGCTTGAAAGTAAAAGACACAGTTCCCTTTAATATCTTCCTTAATGAATTGGATGTGGAAATTAAAGGAATACTAAGTAAATTGGCCAATGGCACTGAAATGGGAGGAGATGTTGACTCTCTTGAGGGCCAAGGCACTGCAGAGACCAGGACAAATCAGAGGGCTGGGCAATCACCAACTGTATCAAGTTTAACAAGGGCAAGTGCATTCTGCCCCTGGGAAAGTGGAACCTCAGTGCTGTGTACGGATCAGGGAATGAGAGGCTGGAGAGCAGCTACAGAAAGGGACCTGGGGGTCCTAGCCAATGGCAAACTGAGTGAGTCAGCAGTGCCCTGGCAGTGCTTAGGTCTCACACCATCTAAATCCAAGTTAATCAGAGCATCTGTTTTCAGTCAGATGGTCTTGCAGTTATCTATGAGTGATCAAAATTACTCTCATCTAGTCTCTGCATTGCTGCTGTATAGTCTGGAAATGTACCTGGACTCTGCTGAACTCCCTTGAAGGTGCTCATCCAGTCATCCTGGTCAGACCATTCCTGGTTCATTCATTGCAAAACTCAGGCTCCACAGTCATTTATTTTAGTCATTGGTCAGGAATTCAATGAAGCTTGGGTTAAGCCCATCCTTAACCCAAAAAACCTAGGAGTTATGAGATTGCTAAGATCTCTCGAGGCTCAAAAGTATGAAAACACAGCTTTCACTTCCCAAAGACATGTTCTAACTAGCAGGCTAAAATGAGAGGTTTTGCCCACACCAGGTGTAGGTGTCTGTTAGGAACCACAGAGGGAATAAAACACTTGACTCTGTAACCTGATATTAAATACACTGTGTGTAGATGATTATTTTGGCATTTGGAGACTAAGTCCCAGTGCTGCTGAACATTCTTTGTATGTACATTTTCCACTTAAGATATACTGAATTAAATACACATACAGAATTAAGAGAAAAAAGCCAAAGAGGTAACCTAATGCTCCTGCTTTGTCTGGAATGTCAAAAAGCAGCTGCAGTGGAGCTACATAAATTTAGTCCTTGGCACAGAAAAAAAGAATAAACCATGGAGCTGCAGAATGGTTTGGGTTGGAAGGGACCCTTAAAGACCAACTAGTGTAACCACCTGCTATAGTCAGCGACATCTTTCACTCATTGTTGCTCCATCCAGCCTGACCTTGAACAGTTCCTGGGATGGAGCATTCACAACTTCTGTGTGGCAAACTGTTCCAGGGTCTCACCATGTTCATAGTTAAGAAGTTCTTCCTAATATCTAATCTAAATCTACAATATTTTATTTTAAAACATCTGTCTCTTGTCCTGTCACTACAGGCCCTGAGAATACTCTCTGCCTTTTCTGTAAGGCCCCTTTACAAATTGAAACTCCAGCATAAGGTTTCCCTAGAGCTTTCTCTTCTTCAGGCTGAACCCCAGTTCTGTCAGCCTGTCTTCATAGGAGAGATGTTCCAGCCCTCTGAATATTTTTGTGGCCCTCCTCACAAAATTACTGACTTCTAAGGCAAGTCCATGTTCATTGCCTGAAGTGCATGGGTCTAAATTATTAGTCTAGTAATAGATATATGTCTCCTGACGGAGTTTTTCTATCCGCAAATTATTTTTAAAACTCATAACTCTTGCAAGGCTCTTGAGTTTTAACATAAATAAGTGTTACCATTTTAATATCTTCAAGAGTATTTTAGAATTGAGACTAAAAAAATCTCTGCATGGTAGATTTTGCTATCATACCAAATTTTAAATTAGCACAACATAGGATGTGTTTGCACTGCATGAAAATCCAGATATTAATCAGCTGCAATGGTAGTTTTTAACCTGCGATATATTATTTTTCCTGATGTTTATGTTTGAGAGGTGTGACAATTACAAGCCTTAATTTTTAATTGGTTCTCTGATGGGATTACAATCATTTGGCAAGCTATCAAAAAGTATTTTAGGAAATCTGCCTGGGTATATAGAGTGTATTAGCATCACACTGGCATACATCCCACTGGCTGCAGTCTGGACATAACTATTGGCTTGAACATAATTTTTCAAAATTTTTCACCACTTCAGATAACTGTGAATGAAATTTTAAAATTGCTTGTTTAGTGATGCTTTCTCCTATTGTACCACAGTATTCTCATCCTTGACCTCGATGATGTAATTTTAGCTCTGTAAAAAACACTGTAGGGAAAAGATCTTTTTAAATATACTCATCATGGGAAAAAAATGGCGTTGTAAGGAAGTACAGATATGGGGAAAACTTTAATTGGAGCTGGAATGCTAATTAGTGTCTGCAAACATCCTCTCCATTCAGCCACTAGCTTTAAAAACCAGGATGATATCTATACTGAAAACTAATTTAAAAAAATTATATGAGCTTTATAGCACTCCAGGCCAAAATAGACTACCGTGTGCTCTAGTCTGAACTCTAATGTGTGACAGGACAATTAAGCAATTCAACCAGCCTGTCCCCAGTTTAAGTCAATAAATAGTGCTTAATTAACAGCTAACTTGTGCTTGGCTGAAACATAATTTCTTTAAAAATATCTGCTGATGACTGAATATTGTATATATTTATCAACAAATACATGGTCACGTTCCCTCTTGGAAGGTTATTCCAATGGATAATTAAACTCACTAAATTGTGTACTTCTTATTTCAGTTTAGATTTGTGCACATTCCTAGGCAGTATTCAAAGAAGACACAAGCAAGATGTGATCTTGCAAACCTGTGTTCAGCCAGCTCTGGAGGGAAGTAGAACTTCACTAGAGGCAAGATATATGATGAGGTCTCTATAATTTATTCCAGCAGAGATATAAAACAAAATCTGGAGCCATCTCACACTAGGCGAGAAACAGAACAATCAAAATCTGCCTGCACAAGCCCATTTAGAGAAGTGGGAAGGTTTCTTCCAGACTCAGATCTTCCTAAGACCCTTGAAGCAGAAGCTATCTGTAAGGAATTTTTGGGTAAATAGGAAGAGCAGTTTATTTTCACTCCAACATGAGACAAAAGGAAGAAGAAAGGTCCCCTTCTTTATGAACTGTATGACCAGTGGTGATGAGCTACTGGCACTGGCTCAAGTTTGCTGTTAACAAAGATCCTCTCTGGCACCAATTGCAAGGAACTGCAATGTTTTTAAAAACAAACTTGGCACTGGATACCAAAAAAAAGTTCTCTATCTTTTAGATCACTACAAGCCTTTAAGGCTTTGGACCAAATACTCAAATATGGGTACGGATTTATTCCAAAGATGCTGTCAAAGGGAATGAGATCTTAGGGAAAACAAAGTTAAGTGAAATGTGCCTACAAAGCGTTGTCTCTACACAAGGTTTTGAGTGCTTATCTGGCTCTAATTCTCTGTAAACACTGATACATATATTTCATATTCTCCCTTATTCTTGCTACTCTTAGTGTATGGGCACTCTTCACCTAGAAACAAGACATCTAAGTAATGTTCAAAAACATATAGCATTATGTTACTCTATAGTTAGAGTTATATAACGCTATATGTTACATATAGCATTAAATACTCTAAGCAACAATACAATACACTCTGTATGTATTAGATGAGAGATACAGAGAGCAAAGTAGGCAAAATAAACATAATTGGACAAATAAAGAAGTCAGGGTCTTTCCCTTTCCCAGGTGACATGGAAGGTTTTTGCCACAGTTGAGAGCTCAAACCAAATGTCTGGATTTCCTCACCAATGCTAGAATGACAGTAGTAGTATTGTTCCTGAAGGCCTTTTCCCCCAATTTTTTTAATGTATATGAAAAATTGGTGAGGATAAATGTATTTAAAATAATTTGGTAGAGATTTGTATAAACAGCCATTAGGTTACATGAAAAAGCTATAATCAACTCTTCAGAATGTTGCAGTGTATTTTAAAGCTGAAGAGAATTGAACCTGAAGAAAACATGTAGTCTATTAAACACAGATTTATAGGAGGCATACCTCATATGCATCACTTAAGTTTTTTGGAAATGTTGAATTACTTTGGCAGTTAACAGGTCTCAATGCAAAAGCATTTTATGTCTACTCAGCATTTAGTTGTTTTTCTTTGGGATAACTTCTAATATGCTGGCTAGAACTGAATTCTTTGGTCTTTTTACAGCAAAAGGCATAAATCTCTAGTTGGGAATGGATTTCAGTTTGGTTTTTAGAAAGCATATTCATATTTTAAATTGTTGAGAAAGGGATGACTATTAATTAAAAGACATAAACTGTTTTCTGGGTCACAGAAGATGAAGATCAATACGATTCTGCCCAAAACTTCATGAAACCTTTCTTTTGCAGATAGTGAATCATCCTGTTTACCAGAGAGATAATAAAATCCAGGAATTTGCCTGCACTCATATAATTTCTGTGGATTACAACTTCTAGTTTAGATTAATTAAGTTAAACTCTTCAGTCAAAAAGAAAAGGTCAAAGACTAACCAACACACAGTTAAACATCAATTAATTAAGAACTTTGGTAATAATTAATCAACCACTCTCTCAACTCCAGCAACTTTCTCTAATGTATGTCAGCAATTAAGGATTCCTATAACAAAAATGTCTCATTCCACACTTTTGCTGATAAAGATGCAAAGTGATCATACTTTCCTTAACTATCCCTGAATGAGATCTGCACTGAATGAACTCTTGGAAAAAGAGAAAAAGCTCATGCCATTTGTACTCAAGGCAGCTAGGTCCCAGTGAGATCATGTTTCTAAAGGTGCCAGGCCAAGCTTCATTTATTTCAGTTTCTCATCTTTAGCATAAAAAAGGCAAGAAGAGTTTTCATCACTTTGCCATACTCTGCGCAGGTCTCCAGACAGAGAACATGGTTTCAGAGGAAATGGCTGATATTCCACTTAAAATCAAGAAGGGGAGCAGTGAACTTCGAGTGTGTCCAGATGGGACGATGGTGGTTGGACAGAAGCATGAAGTGCTCTATCTTGTCATCTTTCCTCACAGATTTACTGCCAAAGGAGGAAGAATACAGTGGAGATAAAAAGCTTATTTTATAGAAACAAATGCTGTCTAAATGTTTTCATATCTGTGAGCTCTAATATCTTGTCACAGGATATTAATAATTTGTATCAAAGTGAAAAGGAATTAGCTTATATCTCACTGTTGAGGAACAAAGCTCAGTATGTAACTCTGCCCCCTGAGGAGTTAAATTTTGGGTGGGGATTTTTTTTAATGGTGATAAATTCTCAGATAGCCTCCCTGAATAGATTCATATCCCATAAAAAGGATGACATTCCCAAACGTTTATAAAAAGAATAAAGCATATTATATCTGTTCACTATATATAGTAGTGGAACATGCTAATTATGCTTGGAGATAAGCAAAGATACTTATCGTAAAGTTGGCCAGAGTGTTGACATAAGAATAATGATATTCACCTTTAGCAAGGAGGCAGAAAGAAAAGAATTTGAAACATTAGTGGTCAGTGCAGTATAGAAATCAACAAAAATATTTTTCCCAAGTGACTTTATTTTACTCACTTTTTATTTTACTAATTGATTTGCAAATAAATGAAAATACATCAAAACACATTGAGAAAATTTAAAGAAGTACATAAAGAAAACACTGAAATATTTCAGGAGATCATTTGTCTGCATTCAAAATGGTTGAACAATGGAACAATGCTCCTGCCAGCTTCCCTTGCCACTGTATGTTTCCAATTCTAGCTTCCAAGGGCAGAAGGGAGTAAGGAATCCAAGGCTCACATCAGCTCAGACTCCAGCCTCTCCACTTCAGTTGTCAGTTTGCCAATCACTTGTGGTTTCTACAATATACTGTGTTCTCTGGCAAGATTATGACTTAACCCACCTTTCTCCCACAGACCACTGAGTAGCCTCCAAATGCCACTTTCAGTCATTACATAATAGCACATCTGGCTCAAACCAATGCAAAATCCAGTTTCTAAAGGTTAAAAAAACCCCAAAAACTTCTAGGTTTATGCTGCTATTGAAAACTTATAGTTTACATGCTATATTTTTCCCTTAACATTTTCTCTTCCGAAACTCCCCAAAAATATCAGGGAGATATTATTCCTCAATAAAACAGTGGAGCTACAGAAATCAAATATCTACAAATGTGAGGTGCTCTAAACATCTGTTACCATGCTGAAATTCAGTGAGAAATAGTTGTACGACCCCAAGTCTCCTCATACAGAGTGAGCCTTGTGGGTGAAGATGGGGGAGAAAATGGTAATTAGTGTATTTTTCTTAAATATAAATATGGCCTTAGAGTTCATGCACAAAACACCTACAAAAACTCCATTACCTCAGTCAGGCAAGTTCTAATATCCTGCGCTACGTGTTGCGACATGAGGTGACTAATATCTATTACATATGTATATATATGGCTTTTACTCCACCTCTCGGTAGTTGTCGCTGATTCGATCCAAACTGAGGGAATACAAGAGGTCTCTTCCTCCCACGAACAGTCGCTCTTGATACTCATCCAGCAGCATCACATGAAGTCCAAGATATCCAAACGGGCTACGAAAGACTGACGTCCTGTTTAAATCCCAGAGCTCTGAAATACAATCAGAGTGTTCGTGATAAATACCAAACAGCTTAGCTTTCATGGCTTCATTTTCATATCCTCCTAGGGAACTGGGCGAGAAGTTGTGGGACATTAAAATGCTAAACATATAACCTTTGAGTAAGAAAGAGACACGAAACACCTGGGAACAATTTTCAAACTAAGCCAGTTCTCAAGGAGGTTTGTCTCCGAGTCTTTCCATCATAATCTTTATGCCTAAAATATGAGATAGGGAGAGATGAAAATTAGTTTTCTCCTGGACATTTTCTGAAAAGGAAGAAGTACTTAGCACAATAACTGCAAATGGGGGAAAATTAATGAATTAATGGAAATTGAAAAAAAATACTGGAAATTGTGTCCTTGTCTTTCAGGTATGTTAAACTTCAGATTTTCAGTGTACACACTATTTTTACCTGGGTTTGTATTTTTAGGAGGATGACATTGTGAGTTTTAAGCTTAGCACTGTCTTCACCTAGCTCACTGAATTTATTGCCTTTAAATTCAGTCAAAACAGTATGAAATCTGTGAAATGCATATGAATAATTTTCCAACGCTGCTTTTGTCAAGAAATGCACTGACCTGATATGGGAATCTGAGGTTTAGCTGTACATAATCTAGGCTAAAACCAGTTCCACTAAGAAAAGGAAATTAATTCTGGGTAATGTTGCCAAAACGTGGATTCAGGCCTCAGGAAGCAAGAAAGAGGCAAAACATGGGGATCTCTCTGCACTGTGCTGCAGAGCACAGCCTGGCTAGCAGCAGGTCAGAAAGGCTGAAAATAATTTTGTTGTTGAGAAGCCTCCAAAGGAGTCATTTGAGAGAGTACCCTCGGATTCCCTCCACAACGACAGAGCTTGGACTGGGGGAAAGCAACAACGTTCTTATCTCTGTACTGTGGCAAATTATTTTATTTTTAAGAAATCACTTTTGGTAAAACTAATTAAATACGCTTATCCTCACAGCTTTTCATAAGCATAATTTTTTCAATTGTTTGGTTGTGGTCCTGAAGCTGATGTTGGAAGAAGTGAGATTGTCCCTGAGCTAGAAATGACAAATGAGCCCCCATCCAGTTTGGAGGCTCCCGCTCACATGCCACACCAGCAGTTATGTTCATTTTTCCATGCTGCACCTTAACATAGAAACCACATTTGATGTTGTGTTAGCAAGAAATTTAATGCTCAAAAAGGGTATTAATATAATCCAACAAATTGACAACATTTCTTTTAATTTTAAATTATTAAGTATATGGTGTGTATGATTTCAGTAATAGGATAAATATGTTTTACTCCATTTACTCGGTAGGCAGAATTCAGGCAATAGAGGCTAAAAGTAACTAGTTTCTGAAAGTTATTTCCTTAGATGATAAAATTTACATCAAAGGAGCTTTAGCAAAAATTGAGCCTCACATATGATGTCTTTCTCGAGTGATCTTCAAACAGAAACTATTAAATAGTTGTACCTGTGTGAGACTGGCCTCACTTAACAAATGGAAAACTAAGTCACAGAGAGGAACATCATGATGAAGAGAACAAGAGACTTTTTTGTCTAAGCATTGCATTCTAACCAGTGGATAGATACACATTTTTTGACAGTGATGCACTCAGCACACAGCTGCACAGCAGTGTGGAAATGGCACTTTCAAAGCTTGCTCTTGCCAAGCAAATGAGCAGATTGCTGTTTTGGAAGAACATTGCTTGTTTCTGAACAGATTAGAAATGAAATGAAAGCAGAGCTAGAAATACACTTTTGGTCCTAAATAAAGCCAGTTTTTATTTGCAAGAATATAAATCATTCAATATATATTATTTTTGAATCAGCCTTGGAGTGGAAAGAATTGCATTTTAAATTCTAGTTATATACAAGCAACAAAAGGTTACTGTGGTAGCTTCCCCTGATTTATTTTCATGTTGTCCTGAAGGCAAATTGTTCATAAATGAGACAATATTTCTTTACATAGATCAGAGATATGACTCATGTGTTCTCATAATGATGAACAATTTTCTACCCGATCACATAAACTGATAACTGCTCATATAAGAGTCAGTCCTGCAAAGCACACCTGCAAATCTTATTGTCTTAAAAGGAAGTTGAGAATATGAAACATCTTTCAAGATAGAACTTGTAAAAAGAGATCTTTCTAAGACTACATCCAGCAAACTACACAGACATGGGGTTTTTGTGGGGGGTAAAGACAAGAATAGAAGTGAACCCTACATCTGAAAGGGCTAGAAAACAGCACGCAGTTGGGTTTGGAGAGTGATTTTGTACTGAATCACAAATGTAGCAATAGTATGTAGATCCTTTGATAGGTAGTAGGATTTCCATACTTTGTAGGATACATGAGATATTAGGATAATGCAGCACCTCCTGAATACCTGGAGAATGAGTGGTATATCTGGGAGTCTGAAACAGTATTAGAAGCTTGCCATTTCTAGGCAAGTAAATCTCACCATGGTGTGGTTTATTGTAAATGACACAGGTTCTGAAGCAGTAGAACATAATTTTTGTTGTGCTATGCCCCTTCAGCAAAGCTGGTTGGCTTCAATGCAGCCCTGCAGGAATGCAGATGTACTGCACCTGGACGAGCTGCTGCCTCCACACATAGCACAGCTTTCATGCTCACACAAATGCATTGTTAGCTCTTGGAATCATGGAATGGTTTGGATTGGAAGAGACCTTAAAGATATCTGGTTCCAGCCCTCCTGCCACAGTTTCTCCAAGCCCAGGTTTCTCCAAGCCCTGTTCAACCTGGCCTTCAATACTTCCAGGGATGGGGCACCCGCATGTTCTCTGGACAACATGCCAGTGTCTCTCAGTGAGTGTGTCACCCTCACAATAAAAGATTTCGCACAACTAATCTAAACTTTTGCTCTTACAGTTTAGAGCTATTACCCCTTGTTAGAACAAGGGTAATACCCTTGTGAAAAGTTCCACTCCAGCTCTCTTTTAGCCCCTTTAAATACTGAGAACTGCTATAAGATCTTCCTAAAGGTTTCTCTTCTCCAGGCTGAACAGTCCCAGCTCTCTCAGCCTGTCTTTATACTAGAGGTGCTCCAGTCCTCTGATGAGCTTTGTGACATCCTCTGGACTTGCTCCAAACAGGTCTATGTTCTTCTTATGTGGGGGACCCCAGAGCTGGGGTTTTGAGCAAATTTTCCCAAAATTTACCTTCAGTTACCTTGAAGAAGCTTATGCGCACAAGGATACCTTGTAAATACAGATTTCTTGAGGTGTCTAGAGTTGCACTCCTGGTCCTGCTGATACCCTTTAATTAAAAAATAAATTTCTAGACAATGTCTAAACTTCAGCATAATATAGAAAGATGTTGTTCCTTGATCTAATATTAGGATTTAATGTCCATATTTATGGGCACAACTAGCACACTTACAAGATCAGGCACAATTTTCTTCAACAACCTGGCCACAGAAAATATAGTGCTACCTAAAATTTTTAAAATATTCTAATGGCTAAATCGGTCACCTGAGGAATAACAAACATGAGGTCAATTTCCTTTTCTAAATGGATTGAAACTCAGGTTTTTCTCCTTCCCTAATAAGGTCTAATCACAAGTTATTAGCTACTAGATTGGTAGGGAAGGATGGATGCTTTCTCCATTTCCTTTTGAAGCTGTACAACAACATATATAACTATTTAATATTTAATAAATTATACAAACTCTGCCAGCACATGGGTTAGAAACCCTCGGCTTCTTCCTCATGTGGGAGTAACTAAGGGTTTCAGTTGAGCAGAACCCTTCTTTTTACTGAGTTTATATAGATTTCTGTGACAAAAAGAAAAAAAAAACCAAAAACAAAAAGGCAAAACAAACAAACCCTAAAAAAGTTACCTGGGACAAAAAAAAAAAAAAAAAAAACAAACCAAAACCAAAAAGGCAAAACAAACAAACAAACCCTAAAAAAGTTATTTCTTCTGTAAAGATCTTGCATAAAGAAGCAAAAAGCCAGAGACACAGAGGATGAATTATTCAGGGTGAATATATTGCTAGTGCTCAGCACATAGAAAAAAAGAGAAAACTTTCCTAATCTTATCTTTTGGTAAAAACAAATCTTCTCAAGTACTGATCCATAAATTTGAGACAATATTATCTTTTGTGCTATAGTGCTTTTCCATTTTAATCTAAAGACTCAAGACCATAACTAAACCCACCCCAGTGCAGCAAACAGCATTTTACTCAACCAGGGAAAGACTACTTCAATATTTACATACTCCTATATGGCACTTCACTTTACTTCTGAAAGCTTTAAAGCAAGTCTGCACTGCTGAATTACATTTCATAAGAGAACAAATCTTATTTCTTTCTATTTTAAAAGCTGAGAACAAAACTGATGGTTTGCTATCTGTCTGACAGAGCTTGCTGGCAAATGTTCAGACTCGTCTTGCTTACCATAACGTCTCTTATAGCAGATCTACTTTGGTGAATGTGTTCATACTGTACCCTGTTTGACAAAATGGATTCTATTACACATTGATCTAACAATGTTAGTTATATTCCTAAGGTAATTTCTTGGATATTTTAATGAGCAGTATATAATTCTTATTTTCAAGATTATTTTAGAACAGTAATTTCTTCAATTAGAAAAAAAAAGTCACTCCATTTTTATTTAATTTTTTTAATATAAATTATTGGTAATTTAATTATGCTTAGAAAATCAAATGTGAAAATCTCAATGCTGCTCCACAGCAACCAAACTATAGTGACATTTCATTTTTAACACATTCTCAGCATTTAAGCACGTTTTGAGTCATATAAAATTTTGGTCCTTGAATATAGACAAATACCACTGCAAATTTTTAATATTTTTTCTTTTTCTCAGGGAGTGACAAAGCTGCTGTTGCTCTGCTCTTCTCTTCATAGCATTACATCATCACAACCACACAAGTCTCTTGCCTTTGCCCTTTTTTGCCCTCATAAATATCTTTGGCTCCCATTTTAAATTCTTCAGAAATATAGTCTCACCTCCCACTCTACT